TCCGGATCCGGGTAACAGAGAGTAAACATGCTGAGCCCCCATGACGGGGCCTCCGGTATGGGTAACAGAGTGCAGATAGATTAAGTTCCATAAAGGAACCTCCGATACCGGGTAACAGCCAACAGATATAACATGATGCTAAGGATGTCACGAATACATAACACAAATTGGACAATCATTCATTGTACAGAACATATCATTTCAGAAAAACAGATCTTAATTTATCACACAGAAAATAAGTAGAGTTGAACATATCTTTACTATGTTATTACTCACAGTTGGCCTTGAGACAGATAGACGGAGCAGGTTGGTCAAACAGTACGCGGCACGTGACCTACATAACACATAACAGACACACACTTGAAGCACACGTTCTAATTGTTCATAACTTACTTCGTTGACTCTTAGTGTGTTTCTAACCTTTAATCCTCATTATGGAATCTTAAACATGGCCTACGTATGCCTATGATGGGATGAGGATATAAGAATGCATTGGAAAATATTTCTTAAAATTTGCTGAAAATAAGGTCCACACTCGAGCGTGGGTTTTCCCGCTCGAGCGGATATGCAGACAATGAAGCCCCGCTCGAGCGCGGACTTGGCGCTCGACCTACGCTCGAGCGTGAGACTCAGAACCTCGCTCGAGCGGACTGTAAAACACAAGAACTTCTAGGTGTATGCATTTCATTCTCGCGCATAGACTTCCACTGTAGGAACCCACACTTTATGTCCTCATCATGTTCATGAGCATCGGTATGATTATGACTTGTTTAGCTTGCATGTGTATGTTGTGATTTGTTTCGCTTGAGCTAATGCGATCCATGTCTTGATTTGAAGCCTTGTGATTTGTCTAAGTGTAGTATGCTTGTCTTGTTCCTTCCTTAATGTGAAACTTAGGTCACGCCTTGCCTGAGTTATACTAGCTCCTCATTATGGAATCTTAAACATGGCCTACGTATGCCTATGATGGGATGAGGATACAAGAATGCATTGGAAAATATTTCTTAAAATTTGCTGAAAATAAGGTCCACACTCGAGCGTGGGTTTTCCCGCTCGAGCGGACATGCAGACAATGAAGCCCCGCTCGAGCGCGGACTTGGCGCTCGACCTACGCTCGAGCGTGAGACTCAGAACCTCGCTCGAGCGGACTGTAAAACACAAGAACTTCTAGGTATATGCATTTCATTCTCGCGCATAGACTTCCACGCTCGAGTGGAGAGCATGTACTCAGGGTGCACGCTCGAGCGTGGATCAAATTTCTGGAAATTCCAGATTTGATCACCAAGCTCAAATTCGACCTTAAATGCATCAAACTCAATTTTCTCGGACCAAAACTTTGGAAAACACCTAGAAACTCATAAAAGAACATGTTTAAAGCATCATTTCAAGAAAATCCTGGCCCAAGAGTAAAGCAATTGTACAAAATTCAACTTTAAAATCAAAATCAATTTATGAACATACACATGCATGTACATTTTTGAGCTAAGGCTCTCCAAAACATGATCAGATGGTACTAAATAACATAAAACTCATTGTTTTCCCAAAATTAAAGTGAACTCAACACATGCATGAGGGAATTCTTGAAAATCATCCTTCAAAATGCTATGAAACATGCATGCATGCATGCATGGATTGACCTTCCTCTCTAGCCCTTAAGCTTGATTCTCATATCTTATAGCTCAATTAACTTGAATTCATGCATGAACAACTGAAATTCATAAACAAAAGGGTGAATTTCCTACCTCAAGCCTTGAATTCTAAGTGTAGAGGCCCAATCTCCCAAGTCTTCTTCAAACGCCTCTAATTTCTAAGCAAACTTTCTTGTTGAATCAATTCTCCCAACTCTCTCTCTCCCTCTCGGTTCTCTTCCTTAGAATGAGCTCAAATATGATCAAAATGAATAAAAAAGGTGAGTGGGGCTCAATTAGCCTAATAAGTAGTAATTTGTTCAAAAGTAAACAAATGGCATTATTTTAATCAAATTTAATCATTCCGAACCGAATTTTAATCAAACTTACCATAAAATCTTAAAAATCCTAACTAGCACATAAATCAAGTCAATTTTTTATTCGGACGCCGATAAGGCTTTCAATTTACAACCCAAAACTAAAATGTGAACAAATCTTTCCACACCGAACAGATAAGACACAAAAATAATGCAACACACATGTAAATTAATTCCAAATCTCTCTTAAATTACTGTTAGGCATAATTAAATACGGATTAATATTAATTAGAGGTTGGGGTTGTTACAACAACCTTAAGGTTAACCAACCCTCAAAACAAATGGAAAAGTGAAGAAATGAGGGAAGTTGCAGATATTTTCGTGCTGAAATGACATGAAAAATGATACTACAACATGCAAGCAACTCATGCACAACATGTTCAAAAGCCAAAAACACTGAACTAGTGAAGAGCACTACACTAGAGGCATGCAATACCAAGCTCAACTGACCAAACTAGCTCAGAACAGAGCAAAAACATGCCAAAACAGTGGCTAAGATATACTGAGATTGAAGCATAAAAGACTAGAAAAACATGCTCACAAGTTAGCTTGCAAACAAGACCCAAAACACAAATCTCAAAAGCAATGAAAGAGTGAAATAAATGAGCATGTGATAGAGCTATAAACACTGAAATTACATGTTAAATGACACTACAACATGCAATCATCTCAAGCAAACACATGTTTAGAAGCCTAAAACACTAAACTAGTGAAGGCATTTGCACTATAACTATACAAAACATGGTTCACATGACCAAAACAGTCCAAAACAGAGCTAAATCATGTCAAATCAGAGGCAAACACATGCTGAAAATAAGCTAAGCTAAGCCACAAAAACATGCTACCATGTGATGCTAACTAGGCATGGAAATGAGACACAAGAAGGGGAGGCTACCCCCTCTATTTTTGGACTTCAAAACACACTTTTTACCACTGAAATAACTTTGAATTTCAGTGGTTTAAAGGGCCAAAAGGTTTGGTTTGAATATGCTAAAAGATGATGCAAAAAGCTTTACAATTAGGCAATAAGAAGGGTGGACTACCCTTTTGCACAAAATGATCTCAAACCAATATGTTAAGGCACAAAAATAAGAGTTTTTTATAGTTGAAAACCAGGCCAAAAATAGTGTAAAAAGATGGCAATTCAATTGGCTAAAACAAAGCCTACAAGGTAAGTCTTTACCTCTTGAAGCACAACACAAAATCAGTCACAATTCTGAGCTCAAACCACCCTTAGAAGCTCAAACTAAGCCTCAAAGAATCTCAGCTCCAAGCTGAAGATGTTTGGTTAAGGGTCTTAGTGCAAAAGTGTAGAGAATTCTCACTTTCAAGCACAAAATAGGGAGAGAGAGAGAATTCTAGAGAGAGAGAGATGAAATTTGCTCACAAGTTATCTAACCTCTCCAAATGGCGGAGAGACCCCCCATTATATAGAAATCCAAGCCAAAGGCTTGCATTTATGCCTCCAAACACTTGTATGGAGATGGTATTCAGTGAACAACAGCTGGCACAGCTGGCTAAGAAAATATCTGAAAAATGAGAAAAATGGCTGTCAGCCACTTTAGGTGGCCGGTCGGCCACCTCACCTAGCCGACTGACCACTTCAAGTGGCCAACAAGGAGGAAAAGTTGCTGACAAGGCCAAAAAGTGGCCGACAAGGCCTTCCCTCCTCTAGGCAAGAGACACCAAGGCTTGGTCAAAAAACAAGCACAAAACAAAGAGGGTTTAGAGGCTCAAAGATAAGGCGTTCCGCTGAGAACTTCGGGCACTCAAAACGAGCACAAACATGCACAATCATCGAATACACAAACGATGACATCTAAGTCTTGAGGTCGGTCAAAAATGGGGTGTTTACACATATCTACACAACCACTATATCGCCACTGCTTCCTTTGTTTTAGATGGTGAAATTGACACTAAATGATTATAAAGAATGGTGACTGTCCAAATCTATGAAATCGACATTAAATGATTATAAACAATGGAGATTGTCTAAATCTCTTCTTCTTTGTCTTTTAAACCAAATTTGTTACAAACTATATTTAGATTTATTTACAATAATAAATTTATCAGTCTCTTTTGTTCTTTGTGTGTGTGGAAGATGATGATATCTTTTGTTCTTAATGTAAGTAAAAGAGGATGGAAGATTCTTGTGAGTGAATGAGTGAATATGAGAAAGCACAATGTATATTAATAACTAAATTTACAGTGAGAATTTTTTTTTTTTTTTGGATCAAAGATAGAATGTTATTAGGTTAGTAAAATTAAATTACAACTTAAAAATGTCACTACTGATTAGGGCTGCAAATAAATCGAGCTATTCATGAACAAGCTCGGCTCGGCTCGTTAAGGGCTCGGCTCGACTCAGTTTGTTTAGTAAACGAGCCGGGCTCAAGCTCGACTATTAGGCTCATTTAGTAAACTAGTCGAGCTCGAACTCGCATAAGCTCGGCTTGTTTACCTTTATTTAAATTATATAATAAATTCATTATTTATATATTAAATAATATAAATATTTTTATTTAAATAATATAAATAATATTAAAAAAAATTTATCGAGCTGAGCCGAGCTCGAGTTTCATTAATGTTAACGAGGGGAGCCGAGTTCAAGCCTAATTTCTTATCGAGCCGAGCTTGAGCTCAATAAACGAGCTCGATATGTAAACGAGCCAAGCTCTAATAAACGAGCTCGATATGTAAATGAGTCGAACTCGACTTCAGCGAAACTCGGCTCAAGTTGATTCGTTTGCAGCCTCACTACTGATCTATCAATTTGAACTCTAGATATTTTGCTTACTATATCTTAAAATGCAACTACATGCCATTCAACCACAAAGTCTTAGTGATAAATTTATTAATCTAATTAATAAATTTATAATGATAAATATGTCAATGAGAATTTGTAAGTACATAGATGTGATCAAGAAAAACATGTTCGTGGACCTTAAATTTTAACCCCGCCCCGCCCCGCCCCGCCTATTGAAGAATGCGTCACTGCATCACTTCCCAAATGAAATAGCCGCTGCTGCTGCTCCATCACGGCAAAAGCATCTCTTCCCCCCCATTCATGATTCATCTCCGGAACGATTTCAGGTTCTCTCTCTCTCTCTCTCTCTCTCTCTCTCTCTCTCCGCGCACTCTCACACGGTCATCGGTATATATGTTCGGGGTCTTTCATTCATGTAATCAAGAAAAAGTTGTCCCATTTTTTGATCTCTCGTCTGATTTTTTTATCTAATTTTTTCTTTTTCATTTTTTTTTTTGAATCCGATCTTTCCAAATATTGTGACCTTTTCCTTTGATCACCAATTTTAGATGTTGCATTGATTTAATTATTAGCATTACAGTGCCATTTAAACTTGGTTAATGCTTTTACAATGTCTGATAAGTTTAATAGTATATGGATTGACTGCCATTTTAAGGAATGAATTAAAGACTTCTGTTCTTCTAATTATTGATTATTATTATTATTTTTTTTAAAACTATCTGGTGTTTGTTTGTTTGAGGGCTTCCATAGATTAAGCAGTGAACATGAAGAAGTCAGCATTGCCAGTGCAAAATATATGTGGAATCGAAAAGCAGAAATGTGGGAAGGAAGCTTTGGTGAAGCTTTTAAGATGGCATTTTGGGCATTCTGAATTCCGGGGGAAGCAGTTGGAAGCTATTGAAGCAGTTCTATCAGGTCCTGTTAATTTTTCCCTCATCAATAATACCATATGATGACTGATGCCACTGATACAAAACTTTGCTTTAGTAGTCCTTTTGGAATTTATTCATCTATATTTTTGTGTTCTTGGTCTGTGCCTTTGTGGGGAGTTGGTTGTAAATTGGTGTTTGAATTCTGTTGAAAATAGTGGTTTCTCTTGCAGGAAGAGACTGTTTTTGTCTCATGCCAACTGGTGGAGGGAAGTCAATGTGTTATCAGATCCCTGCACTGGCAAAAACAGGGATTGTGCTTGTTGTTTGTCCTTTAATAGGTGAATGCCACTAGTTTTTAGTATTTTTTTTACATTATAGAGAAAACTTAAGCTACACAAAAGATTGTGGTTGGTTTTGCGAATGCTAGGACACAACTCTGATTGCTCCTTTGGTTTTCCATTCTTCTTGCAGCCTTGATGGTAAGCATATTCTAACTTCCTTTTTATGTTCAAATATCTATTTAATTTGGGGGTGGGGTGTTTATATATGATCAGTGTTGCGTTTTTTTTCTTTTATTTATTTATTAATTATTTTTTTTTATTTTTAAATAAGGAAAATCAAGTGATGGCATTGAAGGCAAAAGGGATTGCTGCTGAGTATTTGTCCTCAACCCAGACTTCACAAGTTAGAAATAAGGTGATTATTGGAATTATGATATTATTTTTTGGTCCTAACACTAATGGTAGATGTAACATGTAAGATTATGAATAATTACAACAAGTCATCACCATCCTCTCAACATTATTAATTTCATCTCAATCACCGAAATGGAAAAGAGCTGGCATATAAAGTCAGTTATTAATCACAAATCACAAATCAGAAGGATAGAATAATAGTTAATCATAGCATACTATATGAGTGTTAATCTCAATGATGAAGCAATGGCCTTGAAAAGTTTTCATTACAATGATCCATGGACTTGGGATGAGTATCAGATGCGGGTTTGTCTCGACATCCTAGGATATAGGGATATGAATCCAAAAGTTGGGTATGGTACATGGACACATCTTGAACATTTAGACATATCGTATATTGTACAATATTTATGCATAACAAATTATTTAAAAATGTACTTGAAATCATGGGATTTCTATTTCCCATCTATGTGGGATTTCTATCTCCCACCTAAGTGAAATACTAGAAATTTTTTCAAATGTGAGCTTCTTCTTCTTTTTCTTCATAAAAGATTAGAGGATCCAAATGTCTAATTTGGGTATGGGGTTTGGACCATTGTTGTCAATCGTGAATCATTTTGCTAAAATAGTGAATTTCTTCTTCTTCTTCTTCAAACATAATAAAAGGCTAGAGGATCCAAATGTCTAATTTGCGTATGGGGTTTGGACCATTGTTGTCAATCGTGAACCATTTTGCTAAAATAGTGAATGGTGAATCATAAGATTCATTTTATTTAATATAATATATAATTCTATATATTTATATACATATAAAAACACATACAGTATTTAAAATAAAGTAAATTATCAATATCACTAAATTGTATATATGTATATACATATAAAATCATGTATGTCAATATACTTAATTAATATCTTCTATATATCTTCATAGTTTGGCAAAAAATGATGTCGTTTCATGCGTTATGTAAACAAAAATATTTGTCCAAAAAAAGAAAAAAACATATGTAAACAAAAATAGAAATAGTATTGAATCATAGTGAATCGTAATGAATTGCAAATGAGTGGTAAATTGAATTATACGATTCACTCAATTTCTGATTCAACAGCACGATTCAAATCGTTTTTGTTGAAATTTGTAGTGAATTGTATGAATCGAATCGTGAATCGTACGATTCTAGCAACCATGGTTTGGACATATATGTCATCTCTGTACACTTTTAATATTCATTGGAAATGAGTACACTGTGGTGAATTGAAGAGCCCAAATGATGTAGGATGAGTAAGGATTACTTTCCTACAAGTAGTGAGCCCGGATAAATATATTGGCAGTAGCAACAATAGGCTTATAGGGCTGGATTTAGTGGTTGCAAAAGTTTTAAAAATATAGGAGTTTAAGGGTTTGTAAAAGGATAGTGTTCGGGAGCGAGAACACAAGTGTTTAGGGGCTGTTAGGTGGTGCTCTAAGTACTGTGAACAGTGATGTGAATAGTAACTTTGTTGGAGAGAAGGAGAAGAGAAAGAAAGAGGTGCTTTACCCTTGCAAGGCTTAGGCCAATCACACAAACAAAACATCAAATTCTCATAATATCAACTCTTCTATTGAAACATTAAGTTTACACATATATTTAGTGAAGTTTGGCAAGAACTTAAAATAACTAAAATGTCACTAAAAAAGCCAAAAAGTTGTTACTATACAAAAAGTCAAAGATCCCTTTTCCTCTCTACTTTTTTCACTTTTTTTTCGTAAAAAGTCAAAAAATCATCCCAAACATACTAATTTTTTTCACCTCATATTTTAGCCAAAAAGCCAAAAAGTTACTAAAATAGCCTATTCCCAAACCAACCCTTATAGGCAGACTTTCCTACTTATATAAGGACTGCGACTCAAATTTGGAAACTCATAATATTTGGCAACTAATAATATTCTAGATCAACTATGACTTACAGTTTCACTTCAATCATAATAGGAAACTTTGATGACTTCTAATTCTATTCCAACATCAAAATAGAAAACTTGGACCGAGATTATTCTAGACATAATAAAATCTATATATAATGACCCTGTGTTACCATAAAACGCTAATGCCCTAGCGAATTATGTATTGGTATACGTTCCAAAAAATGGTACACTTGCGTTCCAAAACAGTAAATTTAGTGATCTGAAACGATCCCAAAAGTTTTTTCCCAATATATTTCCTTAAATGTTTCTTTAGGAGAAAAGAAATCAAATATAATGAATTAAAATCTAAGGTGAATTAAGTTTTGACAATACAAAACATAAAAAATGCTTCATAATGCTCATAGAAATGTTTTCCTACATGAAAAAAAAAATTACATTTTATTGGATGGTTAATAATAAAATGAAAACTACTCTAGAAATATCATAAATTCTCAAGTGTAATATGTACAATTCTATTCTTATTGTATCACATTTTGAAGCATGTGGCATACCACCTAAGATGCACGGATACGGACACGTGACACGACACGAATACGACACGGACACGCCGACACGTTAATTTTAAAAAAATGCAAGACACGACACGTGGAGGACACGCATGAAATATATAATTTTATATATTTATTATATATTATATATATGAATATATCATTCAAAGATAATAAAAAATGCAATATAGCACTATTTCCTATAAATTTATATGGTTTTTGTTTTATTATTGTATCTTAAGTTGTTTTGTTCAAACTTATAATTAGTTTCACATATGTATAATCAATAGACACATATGTTTAAACAATTGACACGTGTGTCTTCCAAGTGTCCAAAGAGCGTCCGGGTCTTTAAAAATATTTAAAAAATAGGACACGTTTTGAAGAGTATCGGACACGTGTCCTAAGAGTGTCCAAAGAGTGTCAGTGTCCGACACGGACACGACACGGATACGTCACCTTCTTAGCAGTGTCCGTGCTTCTTAGCATACCACCTTCCCAAACCCGTTCCCGTACTGGATCGATCCACGTTCTAGGTAACATAATAATGACCTATTTAATAACTTGACCCAAAATAAACCCATGTCCATGTCCAACAATTATTGAAATTACCTTAATATTTGTAGAGGGTCAGAAATATTAATGTTGACTTAACCACTAAAGTCGCCTTAATTAGAGGGATAATTATTATTAAAGGAGTTTGGGCACACAACAAGGAACCGAATGGAGTCCGAATTATTGGATCTGAAAAGACTACCTGTTGTGTGCCTGAGGTAACTACCTCAGGTAGCTACCTCAAAGCTTATTGGTTAGAGCTGACAGTAGGCCCTAAATATACTAGTATACCGCGACAAGTCAGAATCATGACTCCCGCGAAGATGGATGAAAGGAAGCCTGAAAGCAAGGGACGTCTTTTCCATTTACCCAGGCTATGGACCTGCCTTGGTCATAATGGCAAGACCAAGGGAGCCCTTGAGGCTTGGTATGAGGCACGACCTGACTGAGTTAAGGCTTTGTTGTGACCCGAATCTAGAAAGCTGGGGAGTTTTGTGATTTGGTGGCTAAGAGTAAGGGAGTCGTTGGGATGGATTCAACTTTCAAGTATGGCTTAACGTAGGCAATAACTCCAGAGTAAGGTATGTCGGGAAATTGTTTAGAGTATGGTAGTACTGTGCAAGGTATCACCGATGTAAGTACCACCTCGAGAGGTGATACCATAGGAGTAGGGCTATCAAGGGATCAGATGCAATCCGAATCCGACCCGAATCCATTTACAAGAAACTAGATCCAGTAATCTGATAATTCGAATCCGTTTAATCCGTTTATTAAATAGATCGAATATGCAAAAAATTTGATCCGATCCGATAATCTGATCTGATTATTCTCAATTTGAATGAAGAAAACACAAAATGAAAAAAAAAAAATCAAATTACATAAAATTATAGCTCAATAAATAAATAAATGGATTGGATCGGATATCCAAAATTATCGGATTCGGATTCGGGTGATCTATAATCGGATATGGGCTAAACAGATTTGGATCGAATTCGGGTTTGTCTTAATCGGATCAGATTTGGATTTTGATAGATCCGATCCGAATTTGATCCATTTACAGGCCTACACAAGAGATACCACTGAGTTACATACCAAAACGACACATACGGAAGGAGGCACGTGCCACCAAGGCCCTGTGGTTAGGACAAGAAATATTCCACGTGATCCTAGAGACACGTGTCATCACTCTATTTGGCCACTTTTATATTCAGTACCAAGGAAAAGCCTGTAAATAGGCCCATTTCCCAAGGTTTGAGGAGAGGATTTTGGGGATTTAGGGAGATGCTGCTCATTTCTATTGCCATATTCCTTCCTTCCTAAACCACTTGTGCTACTCTCACCCGGCTACTCTTTCTCCAGCCCTCAGATCATCTACCGTTTGCATTGCTTTGCTTCTCTAAGTGATATTACTTAACACTGTTCCTTTTGGACCCCCTACAATACCCTTTGTACTAACAACTACTATAATTAGGATGAATACAAATAGAGACTCAAATTATTTCAAACTTCAATCCATGATGTCTTAAATGTGCTCCATGGAATTCCAGATTTGCTATTTTTTTTCCATGATCTTCATCACCACATAATAATGCCAATGATATAGGTTCAGAACTTATTATTCTATGGAGAAGGCTGCAAAAAGGGCATCCTCATGTGATTGCAAAATGTGCACTTCCTTAATTTTACACATCACTAAAAGGATTTGACTTATTTATCCACCACCACTTGCTTGAGTTAAGGTTCTCTTCTCTCTCTTACACACAAAAAGGGAAAAACACTTTACGAATAGTTTTCATTTCCATGATGCTTACACAAAATCATCTGACTTGACTGGGTGTAGGGCTCATTTTCTTAGGGTAATGTTTAACAAAAAAAGAAAAAGGTAATTTTAATGCTGTTTCGGCAAGAAGTCTTGTAAAAGCAACTAGGAATGTTAGTTGGAAGGTAGACTCGCCCTTACCAAATCTATTTTTGCATTGAGGCTCCATAAAATTTATTTTTTTTATGTTGTGTTAGAGTCACATAGGCGAGGTGAATAATGAATTAATCAAGAGCTGTTCTGCAGGCTAATATTTTTCCAATAAATGGATGATAGTTTATGCCACATGAAATTAGTTTTTGATCTAGTTTGTGATATTATATTTGTTGTCTAATTTTAGTCTTGTTAATTTGACGATGGCTTATTGATCATCTAGTGCACTTCTTTGAGCTAAATTATGGCTCTTTGTTAATATTGACTTTGTTCATCAATGTCCTAAACTTATGCAAGATTTAATTTTTTCTTTTGGTTTTAATTTCATTTTAGTTTCATGCTGCAACTACAATCCTTAGTCCACTAGTTGTGGTCCAATTTTGAAACTTCTTCGTTACTCTGGTTTCTTGCTGTTAGCTTTGTGATTAGTATTGTCATTGTTGACTTCTTGTTTTGCATGAACTGTGCAAAGCTATGTTTTGTACATGTCAGTTTTGCACAAGTTGATATCTTTGTTCTCAATTTTAGATCCATGAAGACCTTGAATCCGGAAAGCCATCCTTAAGGTTGCTTTATGTGACACCGGAATTGATTGCGACACCAGGATTTATGTCGAAGCTAACAAAGATTCATGCTAGAGGGTTGTTGATTCTGATTGCGATAGATGAGGTTTGAACTTACATGGCCGGTACATATGTGTTTGATACCTCATTGCTCATTGGCTGTAGCAGGAAGCTTTAGAATTTGGCTAATCATTCTTCGTCTTATGTAAAAAATTTCAGGCACATTGCATCTCAACATGGGGCCATGACTTCAGGTAACTTATTAGAGATTTTTGTCACATAGAAATTAGAAGTTTATTCTTTGTAGTTATCCCAAGTCTGCTTCAACTATTTGGGTCTTCAACATGATTTCTTCTTTCTTTTTTTGATGGTTCCAATCCCAATATGAATCTTGTATTGCCATTTCACTTTTTTAAAACACTATAATTCATTTAGGGTGGCATAGAACATATGCCAAAATAGAAGGAAGTGGGTCTAAATTGTGCAGTTCATGAAATTTTAAGGTCTTTATGATGTCGTTTCTGGGAATTTATTGAAATTCAAGACCATGCACTGACAGTACTCTTGCACAAATCCATCTAGGTGTTTGGTATCCTTCATCATGCAGACATCCCTATTTTTAGATTTGTTTTACTTTGAGAAATCGACCATGAAGACAATTTACTTCTAAATTTGTTTGTTTCTTATCATTCTCTCTATTCATCCCTTATTAAAATGTTTGGCACGAATTCTGAGGGTACATGGGTGCATGTGCCTCATGGAAAGCCGCCATTTGCACTACATCATCTCCTCTTGGGGCTTTGGTTCTGTGTTAGCCTCATGAGGTGACATCTCAACCAATAGGAATTTGCCACAATTATGTCACATCATGGTGCCATCCATTAAGGTACCCTGCGCTATGATACCCTCCATGAGGTTAAACTTTGGTGGCGGTTACCCCATTGTAACACCAGTTATGGCAGTAAAATTTCCATTGGTTTATTCCTGGCTATGGGTCACTCCACCATAATAACCCTCCATGGGGTTAGGGATGGCAATCGGTGGGTTTGCTACGTGCCGACCCTCTTGTGTCCCATTTATGAGAAAGTAGTCTCACTCTGACCCTGTCTCAATCCTAAATCATAGTGGGGTGGGGCCGTTTGCTGCATTAGTTGTTGCCTCCAATTTCTTGAGGCAATAGCCACCTGTTCCTTTGTCCGCACTCGGGCATGTGACCAAGTGAGTTAACCTCCATAGCCTGACCTTCCAATAAATAAAATGTCACACCTCAAATTTATAGAATCTGACCCATGAGAAATAATCATAAATAATAAAGACAAACAATATTAAATATATCCAAAAGGCCTCTTTCGTGTATATATATATATGTTAGTGTCATTCACTACATGAGGTTCTCTAATTACATACATTCTATATTCAACATCTAAGTGGAGTGAATATACAGTATATAATTCAAAAGCAATAACAGCAAATGTAACTAAAATGCCTTTAGGCTTACATCAAATAAAAAGGGTATAACCTTTACAAAAGATGGCACTCGGCCTACGCAAAAAGGGCCCAAGGCCAACAAATGAAAAGAGCTCTTTCCTAGCTCATGTACATATCCTATGCCTCGTCTTAAGGTCGGGGCATGCCACTAACAACTGAAAAAGATTTCAGCCACATAAAGTGAAGATATAGTCCGGTAGGATAATCTTTCACGTGATAATATCTCTCTACACATGCACATGATCATGATGCTACATATGTGTAATATGCTCAACATGGTTTCTCATTTCATAAAAGGGTTTATATCAATTCCAATGACTAAGACATTTTCTTTAAGATAACGTTTCTCAATTTTGTTAATTTCAACTCGGTGAATCCTTTCAAGTATATGTATTTGCCAGTGGTTATCACTAAGCACCACCTAAACTAGTGAGCTATCAAAAACATCACTCTGATCCAGATTCACCATTCTCTCACTTAAAACCATGATGTTTAAATGTAATAAATGCAACACATGCTATTATTCAATTTCGATAAAATTTGCTCAACACACCTTCGTCCAACAACGGGTTTTCATTACATGAATTCAACAATTCACAATGTATAAAAATGGGTTTTTGTATACATACATTGTGAATTGTTGAATGGCATTGTCTACATACATTGTGAATTGTTGAATTCACAATGTAGTCGACCATTGATGGAGAATGGCATTGTTGTAGAGATTGAATGTATATAAATATATATATCACACCGTGCCAATATATGTATACATAAATAAATATATATATATATATAAAAATGGTTTCTTAATTTTGTTATGTCTTTATAGTGGTCATTGTGCCTGTTCTCTCACTACCACCTTCCGGGTTTGTGATTGCCACTAGGCTAGGTAGTTCTGACCATTAAATAGAGAGGTGGTGATTTTCAGACTAGGGTTGGGGTTCTCAGTCATGGTAGTAGGTAGAATGGGACTCTCACTCCTCGGTGTTTGAGAAGAAGGGGACACAAAAGCATGGTCTCAAAGTTTGACTATGTTTTTGAAGAGCAGAGGGAAGATGGGGTATGTTGATGGCAGGATACAGGCACCTAGTACCACTGACTCAGGTTATGACCAATGGGAGATTACCAACTCTTTGATTATGAGTTAGCTTATCCATTCGATGGTTCCAGAACTTGGTGAGGGCTACTTGTCTGTGGAGACTGCCCAGGACGTTTGGGATGCTGTGGCTGTCACCTATTTCCGCAAAGGGAATTTTTCACAGGCATTTGAGTTGCGCCGCTCTATTGAGAGCTCACTTCAGGGGGAGCAGACTGTTCTTCAGTACTTCACTTTCCTCATCAACGGCTGGAAACGCCTTGACCACCTGGAAGACTATAAGCCCGTTTGCCCTACTGATTCTGTCGGGTACAAGAAGTTCATCGCACGGGAACGGGTCTTTAAATTTCTGGCCGGCCTAAATGTAGAGTATGATCCAGTTAGGGGTCGAGTTCTGAGTATGGACACTCTTCCTTCACTTCAGGAGGCATTTGCCTATGTACAGAATGAGGAGAGTCGCCGGTCTGCTATGATGTCCCCTGTCTCTACTGACCGTTCCGCATTACTGTTTACTCCTCGAGATGGCCTCAGCCTGCCTCCCATTCCTCCGTCTGCTGCTAAGGAGTCTGTATTCTGTGATTATTGCAAGAAGCCACGGCATACTCGTGAGACGTGTTGGAAGCTTCATGGGACTCCATCCGGGGGTCGAGGTGATCGGTCTGGTTCTCGAGGAGGTCGGTCAGGCCAATCTAGAGGACGTGGTTCCTATTCCCGGGCTCACCAGTCTAGTGCCATTGATACCCTTGATTCTAATTCTACTTATGTTGGCCAAGCTTCTGATACTGAGCTGGAGGATGCTTTGCGCCAATTGTTGGACCGCCGATCTTCTACTGCTCTCAGTATAGCTTCGTCGTCCTTTGCCCGCTCAGGTAACTTAGCATCTTCTCCTTGTGCTTTCCTGTGTCATAAATCTTTGCCTTGGATTATTGATTCTGGTGCTTCGGATCATATGTCTGGCTCCTCTGATCTTTTCTCTGTCTATAAGCCCTCTTCAGGTCAGGACAAAGTTAGGATTGCCGATGGTGCTGTTTCTTTCATTTCTGGAAAAGGTTTAGTCCAAGTCACTCCTACCATACATCTATCTTCTGTTCTCCATGTTCCCAAGTTTTCTGTTAATCTGTTATCCTTAAGTCGTCTTACCCAGGATTTGAATTGTAGTGTGGCGTTTTTTCCTGATCATTGTCTTTTTCAGGACCTTGTCACGGGGAGGACGATTGGCAGTGGTAGTGCAGAAAATGGTCTCTACTTCCTAGATCAACCGGACAAACTTGCTTATTCTTCCACCATGTCTTCTACTACCCCCGCTGATTTATGGCTGTGGCATCGGCGTCTTGGGCATCCCTCATTTCATGTACTTAAGCATTTATTCCCTTCTGGTTTCGCAAATCATCATGTGTCTGACTTTCTTTGTGAGTCTTGTCAACTCGGAAAACAACATAGAGATTCTTTTACTCCCAGTTTGAATAAAAGTTTCGTTCCTTTTTCATTAATACATTCTGATGTTTGGGGTCCCTCTCGTATTATGTCTGTGAAAGGTCATTGCTGGTTTGTTACATTTATTGATGATTTTTCTCGTGCTACTTGGGTGTATCTCATGAAAGATAAGAGTGAGGTTTTCTCTGTGTTTCGCACTTTTCATAAGATGATTTGTACTCAGTTTGGGGCCACTATCAAAATATTTCGTTCTGATAATGGCAGGGAATACATAGATTCTGGGTTAGAACAATATTTCTCTACTCATGGCATTATCCATCAAACCTCTTGCACCAATACCCCCCAACAAAATGGGGTAGCCGAACGCAAGAATCGGCATCTTCTTGACATGGCTCGGTGCATGTGTTTTTCTATGAACGTGCCTCAATCCTATTGGGGCGACGCTGTTCTCACCGCTGCCCATCTTATTAATCGT